GAAGAGAACATTTCATGGACAAAAAATGCTCATGGCATTTTTTTTTTATGCTTCCTGGTAGCCAATATAGTGGGGAATCTCTCAATGGATTACGTATCTCACATTACCTGGTAGAAGTACCCAAATTCATGGTGAAAATCAAGTGTTCCTGGTCTTCAGTTCTGAGAGGAATCTTCTCTGCTGACCTTTTAAACAGATTGTTTTTCCCCAAACTCAGAAACCTCCCGTCACAAGATTTTTCCTCTCAGACATTGAGGAAAGCTGAAGTCAGAATTTTTTTTAAAAAGATTTTATTTATTTATTTGACAGAGAGAGATCACAAGTCGGCAGAGAGGCAGGCAGAGAGAGGAGGAGGAAGCAGGCTCCCCACTAAGCAAAGAGCCCGATGCAGGGCTCGGTCCCAGGACCCTGAGACCACGACCCAAGCCGAAGGCAGAGTCTTAAACCCACTGAGCCACCCAGGTGCCCTGAAGTCAGAATTTTTAAAGCATCCTTCTATAAAAGCAAGTGTATGTATGTAGATGGTGGGGGGAGGGCAGATATTATGGAGTGATGCAGTCTAGTTGTCCAACTTTATATTGACCTTCACTGACAACCTTTTTCATAACCCTTAAGAAAGGATACTGATGAGAGAACTATCATCTGGTCACACTACAGACTCGTAAATAATAATGACTTGTTTGAAGCCACTCAGTTTTGAAGTGATTTCTTACACAGCTACAGACATCTAAAGCAACCTTACTTAATTTTTATAATGATCTTATGAAGAAAGTATCTACCCTTATTTTGCAGATGAGCAAACTGCAGATCAGAGAGGTTAAGCAACTTGTGTGGTGTCACAGAGCTCCTATGTGGAAGAGCTGGGATGAATGGCAGCTATGCCACTTGAACCATTTGTAGGGTCATTAACTACAATATAGCCATAATGAGGAGGAGTTAACTTAGAGAAAAATCAGACAATTTGTAGTTACTATTCTATTGTAGTTCTACTATTCATCAGGACTTTAAATGAAGCAGAGTAAACTGATAAAGTCTGAGATAAAATCATCTAATACATGTACAGAAATCTTCTCAGGAAACAGAAGCAGCCTGCCAACCACCTGTTTTACTGCCTTGAGGCCAATGGTGTTCTTTAGAGAGGAGCAGACTTGTAAAAGTTCACAGACTGAAGCCAGACAGCAGTATTTTGCAACAGAGTAGTTCTTCGGGTTCTCAACTCCTGCCTGTGAATTCAGGCCATTCTTTTTTTTTTTTTTTCTTCCATCTTTTTACCTTCCTTCCCATCTTACTTCCATTAATATTGAGAGTGAGCAAAATGAGCTGTACCTGCACCAGATCCTGAGGTTACAGTTGTGGACAACTCCATCATTCCTGTAGCCGAGGAACACATCGGTAGTCCCTGCGGTTGATGGGAAGGAAAGCATGTGATGATACCCAGAGGGCTGCATACTAGGTAGGATATCCAGCGCGCTCTGGGAGAACCGGGAGAGCTACTTCCCTCAATCTCAACACGGAATGGAAAGAGAGTTAGCCAAGGAAGCTTCCCAAAGATGGTACTGATTAAGTTTAGTCTTCTAAGATGAAAAGGAGATCATCACCTGAAGGGGAGAGGAACCAAGGCCATGGGCAAAGGTCTGACCTAGAAAGGATATATGGCTGTTTAACAATGAACTCTGTCTGCACTCTCTTTGGAGTGCCACAGTCTGCTGTTACTATGGTGAAGAGAAGGGACGGAAATAGTGAACTTGGGGAAGGAAGCAGATCTCAGAACATGGGAGGTCTCTCCCACACTATGTTCAGCTGACCTTCTCTTAAGGCCAAAGGATAGCTGCTGAATGAGAGGCTTTAAGTAGGGAAGTGACATGATCTTATCTTCCTTTCAGAAAGAACTTACTGAGGGCATTGCAGAAAACAGATTTAAGGGAGCTAAACTATAGGCAGGACACAAGTTAGAAATAACAGAAATTGTTAAGTTACCAATAGTGAAAAAGTCTAATGAGAAAGGAGGGGTCAGAGAGTTAAGAAGAGAGGTAACTGGATTCAAGAAATAAAAAAAAAAAGGAGACGGGTGCCTGGGTGGCTCAGTGGGTTAAGGCCTCTGCCTTCAGCTCAGGTCATGATCCCAGGGTCTGGGATCGAGCCCCACATCGGGCTCTCTGCTCAGTAGGGAGCATCCTTCCTCCTCTCTCTCTGCCTGCCTCTCTGCCTACTTGTGATCTCTGTCTGTCAAATAAATAAATAAAATCTTTTTTTAAAAAAAGGAAATAAAAAAGGAGAGAAATAAGGGGACTTCGTGGACAAGCAGATATGATTCACTCCCCTTGCTGAATGTGAGTTGCAAACCCGTAATATAAATTAAGCAACTTATCCAGTAAGTTCCAAAGACAGTATTAATTTAATTTGCTCAATTCTCCTCAGAATTATCTTTTAGAGTGGTAAAAAAGGGATAATAATTAATAATCTCTAAACACAGCAAGCACTTATCATGTGACAGTGCTATCAGCTCTGCATTTTCTCCCTCAGTCTTCCAATGACCCTATGAGGTAGATACAATGATTATCTCACTTTAAGAAATATGAGGCAGTACATTGCAGGTCCTTCATTTTTTGGGTGATTCAATAAACAAAGATTGTTTATTTTGTCTGTATTAGTCACTACATTAGGGGCTATAGAGGACAAGGGCATAGATTACACGGCATTTGCCCTAGAAATTCTCACAGCTGGGATGCCTGGGTGGCTCAGTCAGTTAAGCATATGCCTTCTGCTCAGGTCATGATCCCAGGATCCTGGGATCAAGTCCCACATCGGGGTCCTTGCTCAGTGGGGTGCCTGCTTCTCCCCTCTGCTTGCCACTCCCTCTTCTTGTGTGTACGCTCTGACAAATGAATAAATAAAATCTTAAAAAAAAAAAAAAAAGATTTGTGGTGCCTTGGTGGCTCAGTTGGTTAAGCATCTGCTTTCAGCTCAGGTCGTGATCTCAGGGTCCTGGGATCGAGCCCCGCATTGGGGTCCCTGGTCATCAGGAAGCCTGCTTCTCCCTCTCTCACTGCTTGTGTTCCCTCTCTCACTGTACCTCTCTCTGTCAAATAAATAGAATCTTTTAAAAATTAATTAATTAATTAAAATTAAAACTAAAAAAAGATTAAAAAGTTCATAGCTAAGTGGGACAAATCTAATACTGATAAATGGAAAATTCCGCTGTAATGTGTGCCATCAGAGCAGTCTAGATGAACTGTGGGATGACTCTGGAGACAACCACCTTTAACCATAAAGAGAAACTGTAGCTCAAACATACCTATTGGCATAAATACTCATTGTCAAATAGAAGTCAGTGGCCAGGTTACAGTCTGTATGGGGCTGGTTGCACCATGTATAAATTCCCCTAGTTATGGGAGAAAGAGGTACAGAGTGGGTAGTGTCTGTTCAGGTAGCATGGGGTTGTGCAGCCGTGGAGGTGGGAGGACTGCAAGCCAAAATTCACCCATTGCTCTACTCATCAAACCATGCCTCTGGTGCAGCTCTAGATCTGCCCAGAGCAGGGCACCATGTGGGGCAGTGGCAGCCCTGGCCAACGATACATCCAATGTCCACTAAGAGAATATCGTGAATATTTTATAACTAACTTCTCCCTGCTGGCCTTGTTCTTAAAGACAGACTTCTAGATGGGTAAATAGTCACTTCCTGCTCAAACTAAATCCTCTCAAACCCTGGCCCTGACTTGATATATAAGGAGCATAAGATGATAATGTAGTATGAAAAGGCAGAGACTTCTGGAAACCATAAGGAATTTTTCAAGTCTAAAAGTCCACTGTCTTTAACTTGTGGTTAATGGTTCATGAACCACAGCAGGATGAACATTAAAGCTGAGACACAAAAGTTTCCAAAATAGTTTAAGGATTCACTGTTTTTCTCCACCTCACTTTTATTTGCAGTCCATTCCTGCAGATGAAACCACTGAAAGTTTTCATAAAACCATTGTATTTATTTCCAACTTGGGTAATAACAATGTCTGAGCCCTAATAAATTATCATTACTGTTTGTGTATTTCCCAACTATGATCTTAAAAATACTGTAAATAAAATATATTCTGATGACAGTAAGTGACAGTAAACATTTCATTTTCTTTTCACTTTTCAATTTTTTCATTTCATGTCACTTTTCATTTACTTATGTATATGCTTTCCTTAAAAAAGGAGATTGAAAGAAAGCAAATGATCCTGAACTGTGAAGCATTGAATATGGAGTTTATAACCCAAAATTACATTTGTACAGCAAAGAACCAGGGGTCCTGTACCTGTTAACTGGGGATTTGAACTCTAGATTCTTGAGGCCAACTGGAAGGAATTCAAGAATGCAGGAGAGCTGCAGTGTTCAGGGATGTCCACATGTAAAAAATGATACCACTGAAAATTCCTTCGAAATATGAACACAACCATGGAAAAAGATGAGATACTTAGCAGGGAGTGGAAGCATTCTGTACTAGCTCAGCTTTATGGTACCTTATTTATTATTAAGGTTACAATGTATATTTTGTAAGCAAATTTTATTGCACTAATTAACTCATTAACAACCTCTAGAGAGAAGCCAGATTTCTCTGCAGGATGATTTGCTGAATTTTAATGACCCAGATAAAGAGAAAAATCAGTGTTCCAGGTTGTGAGAAAGCCCCAGGATTTACAAACAGCTCTGATTTATTCAGTGTATCATGACATCGAGAAGTGTGAACTATGGATTAAAATAGAGAAGAATTCCTCAATACATATATAACACAATAGATTCGGCTAATTTAAACAAGCAATGTTTATGGCATTCATGACGTTTTCATCTCATAGAATAAATCAGATTTACTTCTCCTGTCTCTTCTGAGTTGGAGCAGGAGCAGGAACTAGTTTATTCCAGAGTCTACATCATCCGAGCTGGCTGGAGTGCCTAAGTGAGAAGAGGAAGGTAAAGAGTAGGAGAGACTTGGGGAATAGCCCAGCCTCCAAGGCACTGACCATTTAACTGACAGTACTAATGTGGTTTATTATATCTTGAATGATGTCCATTGTGGTACTCTGGCCTCCAATGTCCGGAGTGTGAATGTTTCTGTTCTCCAAGGATGCCAAGACTGCAGTGCGAATGGAGGTGGCATAGGAGTGGAGCTTGAGGTAATCCAGCATAATACAGCTTGCCAGCAGCATGGCAGTTGGGTTGGCCATATTCTTATTGGCTAAATTTCTGCCCGACTGCCTTGACGCTATTTCAAACACCGCGCACACATGTCCATAGTTCGCTCCAGGCACAAGGCCTGCTCCCCCAACCAACCCTATGCAGACATTGTTGACAATGTTGCCATAAAGATTGGGCATCACCATGACATCAAACTGCTGGGGCCAGGATACCAACTGCGTGGTGGTGTTATCCACAGTCATGCCCTCGAAGGTCAGCTGAGGATAGCAGGAGGCTACTTCCTTACAACACTGGAGGAAAAGACCATCTCCCAGTTTCATGATGTTGGCCTTGTGCACCACTGTCACTTTCTTGCGTCCCATTTCTTGGGCCAGCTGGAAGGCATATTCAGCAATGCGCAAAGACTTGGCCTTGGTAATGATCTTGAGGCTCTCGATCACTCCCTTCCCACTCTCATGCTCTAGGTTGCTGTATTCACCCTCTGTGTTTTCCCGAACAACTAAGATGTCTACGTCCTTGTGCCGGGTCTCCACGCCTGGCAGGCTTTTAAAATGGATGACGTTGGCATAGAGATCTAGAGTGGTGCGAAACATGTTGTTACGGGACTTGTGAGATGGTGGCAGGTTGTGGTCAGTTTCAATGTTGCCCTTCAAAGCCACACGGTTTCGGCTGACTGCCATGATGGCATTGTGAATGTCCTCTTCACCAGAAGTGGAGTTAACCATTATCTCCTCAAAGTCCACAGGCACACGTGCATGTCTGAATACAGTCTTGACATGCAGCATAAGTTCAGGTCCAATGCCATCCCCAGGAATCAGAGTCACAGTGTGTCGCCCACCATACTTGGCCAATGGAAGAATACTGCGTTTGAAAGAGAAGCTCCTCAGTGAGGTCTCACGGCCAAATAAAATCTCCCGAGAATGGCAGAGAGTAGAAGGTCGCAACATGGCCTTCACCGAGCAAATGGTAGCTGGCAGCATCTTCAATGAGATGATCATTAAGTAGAGAGTAATTTATGTAAAGATATGCATTCTTCCTCTTGTTTTGAATTGGCTTCTTTTGGTGGAATTCTAGATCCATAATTCTTGCTAGGTAACAACTCTCTCTCCTTCCTTGTATTCTATTTTGACATTCTACTGCAGTGAGAATGAGAGCTAGCCAAGAAGTGATATCTACTATAGAAAATTTATTCTATGTGTTCAGCTCTGTATGATATACTTTTTCAAAACTGGCTTTATATTTTAGAGCAGTTTTAGGTTCATAGAAAAATTGAATGCGAGGTACAGAGATTTCACAGACAACACCTACAGCCCATAAAATTCTCCCCCATTATCAAAATACTGCACCAGAGTGGTACGTTTGTTACAACTCATGAACTTACATTGACAAAACATTTTCACCCAAAGTCCATAGTTTAAACTAGAGTTCACTCCGAGGGTAGTACTTTTGGAGTTTGGACAAATAGATAATGGGGTGTATTCTCCCACGATAGTATTATATGGTATAGTTTCACAGCCCTAAAAATCTGCTCTGCTTTGCCTACTTATCATTCACTTCCCCCAGCCCGATAACCACTGATCTTTTCAGTGTCTCCACAGTTTTGCATTTCCCAGGATGTCATATAATTGAAATCACACTGTATACAGCCTCTTCAGCTTGGCCTCATTGATTTAGTAATATGCAGTTAAGGTTACCTCCATGTCTTTTCATGGACCGTATCTCATTACTTTTTAGCACAGAACTAAATCCCACTGTCTGGATGTACCACAGTTTAGATATTCACCTCATGAAGGACATTTTGGTATTTTCCAGGTTTTGGTAATTAGAAATGAAGCTACCACAAACATACATGTGCAGGTTTTCTGTGGACATAAATTTTCAACTTATTTGAGTAAGTAACAAGGAACACAACTTCTGGATTCTATGGTAAAAGTATGATTGGTTTTGCCAGAAACTGCTCAACTGTCCTCCAAAGTAGTTGTACCACTTTTCATTCTGACCAGCAGTTAATTAAAATTCCCATCGTTCTATAACCTTGTCAGAATTTGTTGTCAGTGTTCCAGACTTTAGTCATTCTAATAGGCATGCACTGGTATCTCATTGTCTTAATTTGCATTTCCCTGATGACATACAATGTCAAGTATCTTTTCATATGCTTATTTGCCATCTTCTTTGATGAGGTATCTGCCAAGGTTTTAGCTGATTTTTTAACTGGATTGTTTGTTTTCTTATTGTCGAGTTTTAAGAGTTCTTTGTATTTTTTGGATGACAGTCTTTTATCAGATGTGCCTTTTGCAAATAATTTCTCCCAGTCTGTGGCTTGTCTTCTCATTTGCTTGAGTTTGTATTTTTTTTAGAGAAGTTTTTAACTTTAACAAAGTCCATCTTATTATTTCTTTCATGGATCCTGCCTTTGGTGTTATATCTAAAAAGTCATCACCATGGGGAGCCTGGGTGGCTCAATCGATTAAGCATCTATGTTCAGCTCAGGTCATGATCCCATAGTCCCAGGATGGAGTCCCACATTGGGCTCCTTGCTTAGCAGGGAGACTGCTTCTCCTTTTCCCACTCGCCCTGCTCATGCTCTCTCTCTCTCTCTCTCTAAAATAAATGAAATCTTTAAAAAATAAATAAATAAGAGTAAAATGTCATCACCATATACAATGTCATCTAGATTTTCTCCTACGTTATATTCTTTGAGTGTTATAGTTTTGTATATTACATATAAGGCTAAGATCCATTTTGAGTTAATTTTAGTGATGGATTTAAGGTCTGTCTAGATTTTTTTTTTTTTTTTTTGCATTTGTATGTCCAGTTGTTCTAACACCATTTGCTGGAAAGATTATTTTTGCACCATTATGATGTTTTGTTCCTTTGCCAACAATCAGTTGACTATTTGTATTTCTGGGTTCCCTATTCTCTTCCATTGATTTATTTATCTGTTCTTCTGCCAATATCACTGCCTTGATTACTGTAGCATCTTTAGTAAATCTTGAAGTTGAGGACTTTCAGTTTTCCAGTTTTCCTCTTCAATATTGCGTTGGTTCTTGTGGGTTTTTGCTTCACCGTATATACTTTGGAATCAGCTTATTGATATCCAAAAAACAACTTTCTGAGATTTTGATTAACTTTGCATTGAATCTATACATCAAGTGGGGAAGACCTGATATCTTGACAATACTAAGACAACCTATCCATGAATAGAAAACTCAATTTATTTAGTTCTTCTTTGATTTTCTTCATCAGAATTTTATAGTTTTCCTCATATGTGTCTTCTACATATTTTTTATTTATACGTAAGTATTTCATTTTAAGGGATGCTAACATAAATGATATTGAAGTTTTAATTTTGAATTCCACTTATTCATTACTAGTATATAGGAAAACAACTGACCTTTCTGTATTAACTTTATATCCTATAATCTTATTATAATCACTTATTAGTTCCAGTAAGTTTTTTCTGCTGATTCTTTCACATTTTCTACATAATCTTCTCACCTGCAAACAACAGTTTCATTTCTTCACTTTCAATTTGTATACCTTTAACTTCCATGTCTTACACCATTAGTTAGAAATTCTAGTATAATATTGAAAAGGAGTGTTAGAGGAGACATCCTTGCCTTGTACTTGATCTCTGTGGAAAGCTTTGTGTTCTCCAAGTATGATGTTAGCTGTAGGTTGTATGTAGATATTCTTAATAAAGTTAATGAAGTTCTCTATTCCTAGTTTTATCATGAATGGGTGTTGGATTTTGTCAAATGCTTTCCTGCATCTACTGGTACGATCATGTGATTTTTCTTTTCTTTTTTTTTTTTTTAGCCTAATAAAGTGATGGATTACATTAACTGATTTTTTATTGTTGAACCAGCACTATATACCTGACATAAATCTCAATTATGTTTTATAATTCTTTTATACATTGTTATATTCAATTTGCTAATATTTTTTTGAAGATTTTTGCATCTACGCTCCTGAGAGATTGCTCTGTCATTTTCTATTCTTGTAACATCCTTGTATGGTCTTTTTAGTAGGGTATTGTTGATCTTATAGAATGAGTTAGAGGTATTTTCTCTTTCCATCATCTGGAATATATTGTAGAGAACTGGTATAATTTCTTTCTTAAATTGGTATCATTTTTTTCTTAAATGTGAATCCATCTGGGCCTGATGATTTCTGTTTTGGAAGACTATTAATTACTGATTCAATTTTTAAACATATGTAAGTTTATTCAGATAGTCTGCTGCTTCTGATGTGAATTGTGACAAATAATTCTATTTCAAAGAATTGTTCTATTTCATCTAGGTTATCAAATTTGTGGGCATAAAGTTCCTCATAAAAATTCCTTATTATCCTTTTTAATGTCCATAGGATTTGTAGTAATGTCCCTTCTTTCATTTCTGATATTAGCAATTTAGGTTCTTTCTCTTTTTTTTTTTAGCCTCTCTAAAGTCTTACTAATTTCATTGATCTTTCCAAAGAGCCTGTTTAGGTTTGGTTTTATTGATTCCCTCTATTGATTTGTTATTTTCAATTTCATTGACTGCTACTCCATTTTTTTTTTTGCTTACTTTAGACTTATCCATCTTTTTCTAGTTTCCTAAAGTAAAGCCTTATATTGTTGATTATACAACTTTATTCTTTTCTATTATATGCATTCGCTACTACACATTTCCCTCTAAATACAGCTTTTACCACACCCCACAAATTTTGATAAGCTGTGTTTTCGTTTTCATTTTGTTCAAAATATATATTTCAACTTCTTGAAATTTCTTCTTTGACCCACATGTTATTTAGAAAGGTGTTGTTTAATCGTCACATTTATTTTAGGATTCTCCTGCTATCTTTCTGTTACTGATTTCTAGTTTAATTTCATTGTGGTCTCACAACAGACATTATTTGATTCAATTCTTTTATATTTGTTAAGGTGTGTTTTATGGCCCAGAATGTGTTCTCAGTAAATCTCCCTTGTGAGTTTGAGAAAAATGTGTATTCTGCTCTTACTGGGTGAAATAGTCTGTATATGTCAATTATACCCAGGTCATGATGATGTTATTTAGCTCAACGTTGTCCTTACTCATTTTCTGCCTACTGGAGTTTGTTCCTTTTTATTGTTAACTTGTTGAGAAACTGACAAACACTATTCTAAAATGATTGCGCTATTTTAGATCTATACCAGCAATGCAAGAGAATTACAGCTTCTTCACATCCTCACCAAGACTTGATATGTATTTCTAATTTTAGCCATTCTAACATGTTGTGGTAGTATCTCACAGTTTTTGATTTGCATTTCCCTTCTAACTGTGATGATCAGTGTCTTTTAATGCATTTTCCTAGCTCAGAGTTACAAGGATTAATATCTATGTATATCTAGAAATCAACCACTCAACCTGCAAAGCAGGCAACATCTATGCTTCACAAAGCCATCCCAGCTATGCCACTTAATTGAAAATAAGGCATATCTTTAATTATAAACCAGCTACAATCTCATGTTCATTTAACTTGGTGCAGGTTAGTCATTGGTAGATGAGGTAGGGGAGTTATTTATGCAGACTTCCAAAGGTCTATTAAAATCCTAGAAGATGAAGATACAGACCTAAAAATGACTACCAGTATAGAACACTCATCACTTCTAAGGTATTGTGCTGGATATTTTACATACATCATCATAATCTACCAAGGTAGACATTGTAGTCCCCATTTTACAGATGAAGAAAATGGCTATCACAGAAAGGTGTGAATATCTGCCAAATTCCTATCATTATGAATTAATAGAGAATGGCAAGAGGTAAGGTGAGCATATCCAGGGACCCCAGAGGCCTAAGCCAGTGCTTCTCAAACTTGATCACCACAGGATCTCACTGAAATAGAGATTCTAATTCAGCAGTTTTGTTGAGGGAAGAGTGCAGATTCTGCCTTACTAAAGAGGTCCCTAGTGAGACAGAGTCTCCTGGTCCCTTAGCACAGTTTGAGTAGCAACAGCCTATCTTTACCTCCCCAC